ATTTTAAATACTTATTAATTAAATAATTTATATCTTGTATTATTCTTTATTTCAGTGATTATTATGAGTTTTTGGAAGATATTGAGGAAGATCCAGAAATGAGACAAAACATAAATATCTTCAGAGATCGTATGAAAGTAATACCAGTAGACACTAATGAATCGGATCCTAATTTCCCATGTATTACTCTTGAAGAAATGCTTGACGATCTTACAGTTGATGATATTGAAGTGCCTAAAGTTTTGCAATAAAAATTTTTATAAAAATATAATAAAGCATCAATTTTATTAAATGTATCGTAATAATATGTAAAGTATTTCAAGTGCTCCTTGAAAAGATTTAAACGCAATAAATAGAAGACAAAATTTTTCATATTTATTTCTCGTTAAGACTAATGAATTAAAAATCTAGAATTTCATTAAACAATTATGTTTTTACAGTTACTTATATTATATATTTATTTATTCAGCCTCACAGCCATGAATTTAACTTGGTTTACAATAACCTACGTTTTATAAATCTATCTTATTCACTCATTCGATTCGTTCTCTTTCTCTCTCTCTCTCTTCCATTCACATTACTAACTAGGTAGAGTACTAACAAGTACTCTACTAACTTATCGCTCTACTTATTACCCATTAATTGTTACCCCTCCCTTATACTTTAATATTCTCTTTGATGTTCTCAGCCACTCTCTCTTTTTTTCTTTTCTTTTCTTTTTCAGCTTCTCGAGCCACTCTACAATCTTTCTGTCCTGTCTCCCACTCACTACGTCTTCCATCCTGATATCCCTATCGGTTTCTTTGCAGTCCCTTGTTAAATGTTCCAGATTTCCGAATCTGGACTCGGAAACAGGGTCGGGCTGAGCGGGCATCCTTGCCTCAGTCCTTCTTCCGTCCAGAACTCCTCAGACTCATCTTCTCTTCTTCTGACTACATTTCTCGTCTCCTCGTATATCTCCTTTACTCTTTCTGTTAACCCTTTTCTCACTCCGCACTTCTCCATGGATTCCCATAATTTGGTTCTCTTCACAGTGTCGAACGCGGCTTTTAGGTCGACGAACATTGCGTATATCTTTCCTTTTCGCTTTCTAGTCTCCCTCTCCACAACGTGTTGCATTGTTTGCGTTATCCACTGCCCTTCTGTGTTTTCTGAACCCTGCTTGCGTCTCTGGTAGGATTCCTTTATTTTCTACATCTTTCTCGAGCCTTTCGTTCAGTAGCGACACATATATTTTATACGCTGTACATAGAAGGCTTATTCCTCTATAATTTCCTGGGTCATTTTCGTCCCCTTTTTTAAATATGGTGGCTATCACCGCCCTCTTCCAATCTTCCGGGAGGCCCTTTCCTGCCCACACCTTCCTGATTACCTCCTTTAATTTGTCCCTTGTAATGCCTTCACAGTGTACCCATGCCTCATTTTGGATGTTGTCCCATCCTGGCGACTTCTTTTTCTTTAGTTTTCTCAATGGCTTTTCTATTTCCTCTGTTTTTACAGTTATAAGTATAACTCCTTTGCTTCCATTTTTTTCGAATGTTAATGTGTTAAAACAATATAACATAAACAAGGCATGTCAACTAACTGTTCAATTTGTATCTTTAAAACAATTGCAAAGAAAAAAAATATAAGGCAGAACTAAATTGTATTGAATGTTATATATTCTATATTACTATTATACTTTTCTACAGTTAAACCTTTCTTTTTTTTTAATGGAGCTCTATACTTTTGAGTATACTGGTTGACAGAGTTTTTTTATCTTACAAAAAATTGTTAAGGTAGTTATCCCATGTAGAATTTAAAAAAATTCGACATTTTTTACATTTCTGGTAACTTATTATATTAAAAATATGTGCTATTTCGTTAAAATTAATTTATAAAACAACCCTTTTATCTCTTTTGTAGGTATAAATCAAACAGTCCCCAAAAAGTAAATAATATTTAACAATCATACGATATAATTATTATTACAAGAATGGTTAAAATCAAGATTTTGAATTATGAAGAAGTTTTGTAGCTTCAATGTTAAGAAGAGATAAATAATTTGATAAACGCATGATAAATATCTGATAACTCAGAATTTAAAAAAAATAAAGAAAGCAATGATAATAACTTATCATAAAAATCTGCAACACACGTATGTTTTGTTTTTCAAGTTGATGCAATGGCTGCAAGCAAAAGAACAAAGTAATATAAGAAATAATATAAAATCCTCTATTTCGCAAAGATGTTGAAGAGGCTGTAAAATATCATATACACCAAATAACAATAAAGTTTTAACGTTTTAACATGAACATTCACGCTAAATTATATATTCTGTACTCTAAAAACAATAGTAATTGCAACTATTTAGCAACCTACATGTTCAACAAGGGGTTCTATATATTTTTGTACATTTTTACTGTATATAATATTAGGTTGGTCCATAAATTCGTACGGTTTTCATTTCGTATTGAATGAAATTTGTGTTCAACATTTGCTTATCGGCTGTATGATATATGTATGTAATTCGATAGATTTTGTTTTCTTCTTTTATATTACTGTAAATTTTTTCATTCTGTGCTAGTAATAAAAAGATTCTTATTCAAAAACTATGGAGTGTCAGGTTAATAAAAATGAGCATCTCTGATGTATTTTACTTTATAAGTTTTATTGTAGCTCTAAAGCTGCTGACAAAAATGGTTCTTCAGGATCTTGGATGGGAAGTTCTCCAGCATTCGCCCTAATTGCCGGACTTCGTTCCGACGGACTACCACCTTTTTCAGCTAAGGGAACGACTAGATAAAAGTAAAAAATTTGGTCCGAACAGTGAAACACAGTGGAAGAATATTGTGGTTTCAAAGGCTCTCTTAGAGGAACCGTCTGATAAGCTATTAACAAGGGAACTTCGGTAACCCGAAAACTCCGATTTTTTTGAAACTTTGTGGGTTTATAGGAGACTTCAAGAGAAGTATCGCGTAATTTTTTTTTTTTTTTTGGCCCAATTTCGGTTCTTGGGGGTGAAAACAGCCCTTGAATGAAGATAAGTGTTACCCTATTTCCCTGTATATCTTTAAAACTATAGTAGATATAAAAAAATGTTTTTAATAAAAATTTAATGGCTTTTTATGCGTTATAAGACTGTGCTATTAAATTAATAAAAATTGTTTTTTTAAATAAAAAATCTTCCACTACCGTTGTGAAAAATTTTCAATCTTCTGTCATATCGAAAAATATGTCAAATAAATGCAGATAAATATGATAATCTTATCGGATAATGAGATATTTAAATAATTTTAATCGATACGTTCTTTGTGTGCTGTTTTCGTCGCACTTGGAACGATGCGTTATCAATTACCAAATATGTATGCGAATCTTTGGTATATTTTTAGTGTACTAATAGGCTGTGAAAAGTCTGTGTTTCGATACAGCGTTTAATGTTTACTCACAAACACAATGATGTTTCGCAATTTTGCTTATAAGCAAAACATGCGGATGATAATCATTCTGTGCTGCAGTTGCAGAAGTGTCACTACATACTATTCGACATAGAGTGTAAAAACCCATTTCAAAAATTGTGCATATAAATCCAGTAAATATTATCAGTATGTTAATTATATCGTTACAAATTTCAAGTATGAAGGTTTCGCTTCCGAA